TATTGATTATTAGTATTTAATTATACTTGTTACTATAATTTATAGTTAATTAAATTTTTTATTTAAAATAATTAATAATATAATGGATGCTATCTGAAATCCTGAAACTCAAAATCCTGAAATCCAAAATCCTGATAGGTTCAAAACCCTGACAGATACAAAATCCTGAAACTCAAAATTCTGATAGGTCAAAATCCTGAAAATATATTTTTATTGTATATATTAGATTTAAATTAATTAGATGTACAAATATAAATTAGCAGAATAGAAGGAAAATATATATAGTAAAATAGTTTAAAGAAAATTTATTACGTAAACTTCTTTAATTACAAAATAGTATTTCATAATAAGCAACAAACTTTTTATTAATTTTTTTTAAGATAATATAATCTGTACATAAAATACAATATATTTATTATTTTTATTAGTATAATTATATATGAAATATATAAAATGATAAAGAAAAAAAAGGCTAAGATGGGATTTGGACTCAGATCTAAAAAAATATTGAAACATAATTCCAGATAATATAAAGTTTAATGCAGACCAATTTTTCAAGATTTTGTACCTGTTAAGATTTTGTATCTGTCAGAATTTTGACCTGTTGGGATTTTGTACCTGTCAGGATTTTGAACCTGTCAGGATTTTGGATTTTAGGATTTTGAGTTTTAGGATTTGGGCCTATCAGGATTTTGAGTTTTAGGATTTCGTATTATACTAATATAATAGATGGTAAGATATTGTAATAGTTAGTATTTAATTATATTTATTATTGTAATTTAAAGTCATCTAAATTTTATTTAAAAAATAAATTTTATTAGAAAGTTAGTTATTTTTATTAATAAATATAAATAATTTAAATATAATTAATTTAATAGAAAATATTATTATTATATATTTAATAAATATATTTATTAAGTAAAAATTATATTTTATGTTTTAAAATAATAATAAAATAATAATTATAATATTAATACTATTAAATTATTATTTAGAAAAAACAGGATTTGCTCCTATTGTAATAAAAATAATATTAGATATAATTAGTGCAAAGAATGTTATTCTAATATTTCAACAAAGTTTTTCTAATTGGACTAGTAAAAATAAATTTATTGATGAATTTATTCAAAAAATTCAAATAAATCAAAATAAAAAGCAATTATTAGAATGGATTCCTTATGATAAATTTGAAAAGATTGAATATCTTTATAAAGAAGGATTTAGTATTAAAGCAACTTGAACTAATGGATTTATTATATCTTATAATTATAAAATCAAAAAATGGAATAGATATGATAGTATTAATATAATTCTTAAATGTTTTAATAAATTTTCAAATTTAAATGAAGAATTTTTAAATGAGATATAAATTAATAATTATTTTTAATTTCAAATAATAAATTTTTAAATTAATTAAATTAATTTATTTTTATTTTAGTGAAAATATCATTATATAATTAATTAAAAAAAACTTTTAGATAAGAATCTTATTTAATTATATAAATTTATTCAAGATTTAAATACTTTAAATTATATGGTAGTAATGAAATATGCAAATAATAATAGTTTAAGAAAAAATTTATCAAATATAGTTAAGGATAAATGGATTATGAAATTATTGTAATAAAATAATATTATTAATGAACTTGAAAAAATACATCAAAAAAATCTTATTTATTATAATTTTCATCATGGCAATATTTAAAAAATTAAGGATTCAATTTTATCTATTAGTGATTTAGGTTTATGTAAACCTGTAAATTATTTTTAAACTCCTAAAAAAATGAAATTTATGGTATTTTACCATTTGTAACTCTTGAAGTTTTAAAATATAAACCTTATATAAAAGCTAGTGATATATATATAGACTTTCTAGGATTATGTGGGAAATTATATCAGGAATTCTTCCATTTAATAATGAAGTTTATGATTTTCAACTTGGTTTAGATATTTATAAAGGTAAACATCCTGAAATTGTTAAATATATTCCACAATGTTATATTAATTTAATGATAAAATGTTAGGATAAAGATCCATTAAAAAGGCCAACTGCATTAGAGTTAAAAAGATTATTAATAATTGGTTTGAGAATGTTAAAAATAAAATTTTGATAAAAATTTAGAAATGATATAATAGAATTTTATAAATCAGATATAGTATTAAAACGAGAATAAGATAATAATATAAAATCTCATTCGCAAGCATATTATACAATTCATTTACTAAATTTTACCGAAAAATTAATACAAGTTTTAAATGAAGATAATATAAAAACATAAATTGGTGAAAATATAGGTAAATATTATAATATTTATAAATTTAAGATTAACATTAATTTATATTTTGATTTTTTAGAATCTTTGAATGTCACAGATGATGACTTTAATTAATTTAGTGTATATTGTATTTAAATTTTTTATAAAAATTAAGATAATTAATATAAAATAAAGGGCAAACATTTTTTGGAATTACCAAACATCATTTTAAGAATCATTTCAAGAGATTCTTATTTCAGAATCATTTGATATTTACTGAAAATATATTGCTTACGAAATTCTTCAAATTGTGCTATCCAATTTCGGGTTGATTTTTCGGTATTTTGAACTATAGCTTTGTTTCGATAATAATTAAATTTACCCTGAATTTCAGAAGTTGGTAATTTGAAGTATCAGTTTCATCTTGAGATAAAGTAGAAACTGAAGTTTCAGGAGCATTTGCATTAGTAAAAACAGGTTCAAAGTGTTTTCGCGTTGTTGAGGCATTTTCAATATGTTTAGTCGTTTTACAAAGCTTGGATAAAAGTAAAAAGGAGATTTAAAAAAAAGAAATAAAAAAAATTACGATTTTATAACAATAACAAAATAAACTTTTATTAGTGAATGAACAATAGTTAAATAAACTTTTTTAATCACGGGCGATTAGTCTCCAGGGGATAAAAAAGTTATTTCTTGGGAATTTCCATGTTATCCATGGGTTCCCGTGAATTACTTATGATATAAAGTTTAATTCTGCTTAAAGAGTCCATGATCCACTAAATAGATAAAATATATGTCAAAAAAATAGTAATTAAATAAATTGATAAAAATAATTTATTTCCATACCTCATGATTACCACCTAGTACTTCATTATGACATGAAAAGTATCATATCCAATAGTGAATTGAAATTGAAGCTCGTTCGTAAATTTGATTGCCCACAAAGAAAACGAATCATTATCACTTGAAAAATCTAAATTTATCATATACGCTCACTCATTCTCTCTATTTATAAAAAAATTACTTGTCAATTGAGACGTGCATCCAATTGTAAAACGTAGAGTTTGACTTAAATTTTAATTTCCAGTAGCAACGTGTTTCAAAGCTACAATAGATCCATTTCTAATAATATTTCAAATTCTAAATTAATACATTTTAAGAATTAATATTTCTTTTCTCTCAAAAAAAAAAAAAGATGAAAGTGTGATTACAGCTGTTTTCATAAGTCACAGGACTCTTGCTGATAACTCGGAAATCCGGCAACTCGGGTTGCCAAAAATAACAATAAACACGTGATATAATATAATAACACATTTATTTGAATTTTAACAAAAATGCAAATTATTTAAGTCGCCGGATCATTGCCAAATTATAAAACATTAGGTACTTATTGGCCGTCACATGTTTTTCTAGAAACCGGATTTGCCGGGTTGCCGGCAAGTATTCGGCAACAAATTTGACGAGTGTCCCGTGACTTATGAAAACAGCTGTAATCGGGTCGAGTCGAATCCGAGTCGAACAATGATCGGGTCGAGTCGAATCTCGGGTTCTGTAATTATTAACGGGCTCGAGTTCGAATATGCTTCAAACCCGACCCGACCCTTACGGAGCACTAATACAGACAGTATTTGCAAATTTGTTGTGCAAACAAAATTTTTAAATAGCGAGTTTACATATTATTTAGGATATTGTCAGTAAGTTGCTCACCTTCCGGAAGGTTAATGACCCGCTCCTAAAATCATTATTCGGAAACGTTTACAAGATTTATTAACCAAAATGTGTTAAATTAAGGAATCATTAAACAAAGTTGCATAAAATTAATGAATTTTCTTAATGCAAAATGATAAAACATATTTCTAATAATATTTTGCTATTGTTATTTTTTTTTTTTTTTAAAAAAAAAAAAACTTTTATATTTTGAAACGTTTTCAAACAAATGATGGAAATTTATACATTACTTTATGCATAATTTTATATGATAATTCGTACCATTGTTTTTTTTCATATACCCTTCGAATAAATTACAGTAAGTACTATTTATTTTAAAATCAGTATCGGAGAATTCGTTTCGTTTTCAAATAAGTCGCAGTCAAATATCAACAAAACATATTTACGTAGTTTCCATTTAAAATTTTTTTTTTTTTATTGCTGATCTTGTCTCTAGAGATACTCAGTTCTTACCGCAACATGTTTTCTTTGGGACATAATAAGAGTGGATATACTATTATTTCTCCAGAACATCAGTTTGTCTAGAGTAGTCGGTCAAAAAATAATCCTATTATTTAATATTTTTTTAAGAAATATTTATTTTATAAACCCTTTTAATGAAATTTTGAATAAAAAAAAATTAAAATTTCACACATTAGTGAAAAAAGCACAATAGCAAATACGAATTAGCTTTGAGATATTTTTTTTTTAATATGCTTCAAAGGATATCAATTATCCCAGAAATGATCAATGTCATTTTTTTTGTGGATTTAATGCATCTAACCTTCATTGTTTCGATTCTTTAGTTTGAGTTTTATCAATTTCCTATTTATAAATAAAGATGATCACACATTTGATTATGCAACGTTGCTTTGTATTTTCGAACAATTTTCTTGATATTGATAAATAAAAAAAAGGAATATTTATTTTAAAATTGCAGATAGAGATAATAATTATACAATATAATATGAAATCTGCGGAATATAAAAATACAAATTTACTTAAGGTGGAAATGAAATAAAAGTTTCCGATTGTAAATTAATAGCATCCTATGCTCGACAAATCACAAGCATCCCCGAATAAATCAACCCACAAAGTGTTATACCCGGTAAAAATTCCTAGAAATAACACGAGAATTGTCACTATCAAACCACACATGGAATTCCATATATGTAACGTCCTCATCCTTTTCAATTTCTCAACGAATTTTTTCCATTTCTCAACGAATATTTGCCATTCCACAACGAATTTCCTTATGCATTTCCATATCACAGTTTTCTCAGGATCACTTACCTCAGACCCGATCAAAGTTTTCTCAGGATCACTTTCCCCAGACACGCTCTCAGTTTTCTCAGGATCACTTTCCTCAGACACGCTCTCAGTTTTCTCAAGATCACTTTCCTCAGACACGCTTTTCTTAGGTTCGCTTTCCTTAGACATGATTAAATCACTTTCTCCTATTATATGGCAACAAATAGCCAAAACACTGTTAAATGACCAGATAGAGCAGATTATTGTTACATATTTGCTACGACAATAATATCCAACCGGTGGAGTAAGATAGACGATAAGTACTGTCACCCAAGGATAAACTATTGAAAATAAAGCAGTTATCGTAACTTTCGCACGTAATAAAAGTTTATCTTTAAGATTGTTTTCCACAATTTCTATATTTTTAAAAAAATCTTTAGGATCTTTAACTACTTGAATCCCGTATATTCCTCTTTTCCAAATTGAAAGAAGGGTCCAGGAAAATAATAAAGGCAAATATGCCCAATCTTTACAAACGATCGTTCCTTTCATCATGGAAAATCCTTCTATTACACCAACTATTATGTAGTATGATGTAATCAATAAAGAAACTCTTTCTAGAACGGGTAATTTTGCTGTGCATTGTTCCACGTATTTCTTTATATCATTTTCATTTTTCAGTTTCTTTGCATGAAATCCAAAAGGTCTGTATTCTGGATGACCGTCTGTTCCTTCTTCTAAAAAATAACTTCTTGAAAGCCAGAAACAGCAAGATTCTTTTTTACCTCCTACGTTGAGAGAGTGAAACAGCCCATCAAATGGACAACCAAAGCATCGAAAGAACCACATTATCTTTTCGTCTAAACCATAGGGCGAATCTCCCATAATTGCAATGGCCGAGAGACTACTAACAACGTATTCAGGTAAAAAATCTAATAGTCTCATTAGATAGTATAAGAGATATTAATGCAATGGGGTGAGTGTTGCCAAATTTTTTTTAAAAAAATTCCGTTTTAATAACAAGGAACTTATAATGATCAAAAACATTAAATGGGAGCTCGTCAGTAAAAAAGGAGGAAACCTAAAATTTTCATTAATTTTAGTTCCTAAGCTAATTTTAAACGCACATGACTGTGATCAGTATCTATTGACTATCCTATCACACAAATACAAACACAAAAAAAAAAAATAATAATTTATTATACTTTATAGGCGATTCGTGTAACGCCAACGACCGGCCATTATTATATACCTTATTTTTTTTACCTTACACTAACACTAACACTAACACTAACACTGACAATACACTAACACCAACACAAACACCACCAAACACTGACACTAACACAAACACACACAAACACTAACACTGATACTAAGGTAGAGGATAAGGTATCTACCTCAAGGAATAAAGGTTGTCTAAATATTTTTTTTTTTTTGTTTGTAAAAAAGAAGAATTGGATTTTCCGTGGTGGCACAGTCAGTTGCATGATGAAATTGTTATTTTTTTTTCTACTATCTATGATTATTGATATTAATAATTATTCGATTTTTGATTTTATAGGTTAGATCGATAGATCCGCCACTTTGGTCGTCACGAAGGCGCAGTCAGGTGACTTTTTATTATTTTACTTATTTTTATTTGATTAATAATCAAAATCTAATGGATTTTAGTTAGGGTCGATTCCGTCCTTTCGGACAAACGTGTGCGCAGCATTTAGAATGGACCCTTCGGCCAGGATTGGAATCGATTCTAATAAAATCGAATTAATAAATTTATTTTATTTTATTTATTTTAAATAATTAAATTTTTTTATTTTTTAAATTTTCAGTTAATTATCCTTTTTATATCCGCGAATTTTAATTTTTTTTTATAATCACGGGTTTTAATTTTTTAATTTTTTATTAAAATTATCGTTATTCAATTTATTTACTAATTTTGGGTTCGATTATTCCATTTTCATTCTCAATGTTTTTAAAATTATATTTATCCTCTTTCGGCTTTGCTAATTTCTTTTTTTTTAATATTAAAATTTTTCTTTTTCATTTTTACTTTTGGGTTGGATCACATTCAGAAGGAAAAGGTAAGGATTTTTTTTGATCATTTTGTTATGTATATTTTTTTAGTTTCAATCGCATTGTGCAACGTTTACTTTATTGGGTTGATCGCTTCAGTAAACAAAGGTTAAGTTCTTTCTTAGTTTTTCGATTTATTTTTTTATTTGATAAATAGTGAACAGAGATGGTGGAGGGTGTAGTTGCACTTATTGTGCCACTAAAAAAATGATTCCATTCCTAGCGGAGAGTACCAAGAAACTGTCATTTTAATAGAATACTTATTCAATTGTTTACTGAACCGGCCTCGAATAAATATTGATTCTGGTACGGGATCTTAAAGCTTGAAAATCCCGGAAATAGTTTTGTATTTTTGACATCGAGATAGAACTATAACGTAATACTAAACCGCCCATACTATATTTGATAAATGTATTTTTGAAAAGTGATTTTATATTAACGTTAAGGAGACCTAATTTATCTTTAATAAACGTATTGCATAAAAAACTTTTAACTGTTCTTTGATTTTTATATCAACAAAATAAAAATTCTTGTTAAGTTTTTTTATTTTATTTTATTGATTTTTTAATTCTACCCCTCGCGATTTGAATTTTTATTTTAAATTTAATTTAATTTTTTAATCGCATTTTTTTGCATATATACACCATTTTTTTAATTTAATTTTATTTTTCGGATTAAATAGAAAAAAAAAGCTAAAAATTAAAAATTAAAAGTATTACTTATTACAATGGTGTAAATCTCTACGAACTTTGGGAATCGGGAATCTGTATTTAGAAATCGGTTTATAAGCTATAGAATATAATTATAATCTCATATTATACGGATCCTTTGCGAAAAAATCAATTTTAAAATTTATTTATAATTAACTCATTTTTTAACATTTTCCTGGTGTATTCTCCCTTTTCTATTACAAAGGTCCCATACAAAACGAAATTGCGCAGTTAATTTCATTCTGAAACATTATTATTTGAAGTTTAAACCTTCTACAAGAATGACTATGTGTGGTATTCTTATCCATTAAGTAAGTGACTATTTTTTTTTTTTTTATCAATATAAATAAATTCTTGAGGTTCACAAAAACTTTAAATTGTCTTTATCAGCGATTACCCGCAAAGTTACTATCAATAATCGAATGCAAAAATGAAGTATAATTATAAAAAAATTTAAGTGATAAAGTAATAGTAATTAATCAATTTACGAAAACGAAATTATATAATGTAACCAATAGATCGTATTTGAGAAAATTTTATATTATCTTTCCATTTGAAAGTAATCGTGTTGTTCCTTAAAGTTCAACTATCTGCATATTCAAGAATGTGCGAATAAATCGTTTCACCTAATGAATAAAAAATAATTTAAATTTTTTAAATAAAATAATTACAATTCCGTGATACCACAAAAATCTAATGATATTAGGATGTAAATTATTCATTCCCATTATTCCTATCAAATAAATCTAGAAGAATCCAATAATGTCAAAAGTTTTATTAAGAATGCGACATCTATACCTTAGCAAACTTTAATTGTATATATCATAATCTTTGAACGTAGCTGAGCTGAATGAAATTCAAATAATCCATTGATGACGCAGCTGATATGCTTACTGAATATTGTGGTCATTAAAATTGAGCCATTGTACTCGTACTGTATCTATAATATTAATGACCATAAGCGTTTTAATTTGGTATCTTCTTCTTTATTCCTTTAGAAAAATAGATTGCAGTGTAATGTAAAAAAAATTATCGGCAATTTACTATTTGATGATTTTTGCTAGTACAATTAGTTACTAATTTGTTATTATGTCAACTTGTAAATTACTATTAGATTACATTATTTAATATAGTTTAATAACTAATTATATTTATTTATTGAAAGTGCAATTTTTAATATTTCTTAACTATCGTCTCTTTCTTGTTTTTGTGATCTTTTCTTTTTTTCATGATAGTGTTGTGACTGAAATTGATTTTCGTCTGAAATTGGAATTCCAATTTCAGATACCCTTTTGTTATCTGAATTCCAATTTCAGTCATGATCTTATTGGTCAATGTAACTCTTTAATTTCAGTTAAATTTTAATTTCAGATACGAGTGGCTGTCTGAAATTGGGTTATCTGAAATTAAACTTCAGATAGAATCTGAATTTCAGATACGAGGCCGTCTAAAATTAGGATATCTGAAATTGAACTTCAAATAAAATTTGAATTTCAGACACAAGGCCGTCAGAAATTGAGATATTTGAAATTGAACTTCAGATAGAATCTGAATTTCAGATACGAGGCCGTCTGAAATTGAGATATCTCAGATAGAATCTGAATATCAAACATGAGGCCGTCTGAAATCGAGATATCTGAAATTGAACTTTAGATAAATCTAAATTTTATACTAATTATGCATTTATAAATTAAGTTAAAGTAATATGAAGAATCTATTATTTACATTTACTGTATATATGCAATTTATTTTAATTAAAAAATTTTTATGAATTTTTAACTGTTTCTTTTATTTATTTTTCTTTACTACTCTTAATAAAAAAAATTAACGATCGTTTTCTCTATAATTAAATTTAAAATGGTAAATAATTTTTATTTTAAAATTCGCCTCTTAGCTTCAAAATAGAATCATTATACAAGTAACTCGTAAAGGTAGGAGTTCTTTTTCTATTTGCTATTTTAAAAGAATTAAAAAGAAGAAAAAAGTGAATATTTTTAACATGTTCTTCTAATAGATGATTATTTCAGGTTGAATCACTTCTGTTTGAAGTTTTAATAAAAAAAAACCCGAAAATATAGAGGAAAACGAAAATGAATAAAATCACTTATTTAACTGACTCAGCACCCGATGCGGTCAAAAAACCTGCATGAAAATAAAATAGAAATAAAATAAAACTAAAAAATAAAAATAAAAAATATATTTTAAAAAAAAAAGAACTTACTTATTGCCAAAAACTGAATCGAAATTAAAAATGAAAATGAAAATAGAAAGTAAAAAAAAAATCGAAAAAAAAAGAAAGAAAAGAAATACCTACATTAAGCAGCAGCCCGAATGTGAAAAAAAATCCTAAAAAAAAAAAAAATAATAAAAATAAAACGATAAATAATAAAAGAAAAGAAAAAATGTAAAAATTTAAACTATATTTACGAAATTGTTAAAAAAAAATTGGCATATTGTGATTGGTTAAAATAATTTTTTATAAGTTGTCTGAAGTTGAAATTCAGAAAACAAAAAGAGTGTCTGAATTCCAACTTCAGACGAAAATCAATTTCAGTCAACATCTTCATCAGGTACATGTGACGCAGACAATTGTGTTTTGAGTAACTTTACCTTTCGCAAGTGCTGGGTAATTGATTACCTCTGGATGAAATATTTTGTCATTTATATTATCAAAAGAAAAATATTTTTTTTGGAAAAACAAGACGCGTAAAAGAAAAAAGAAATATTATTTGTTTTTATGAAAAAATGGTTTAATAAAGCTAAAAAAAAAAAAATTCTAATAAAGTTTAAATTAAACTATTTTGTGTAAACCGATAAAATATTTACTCGGCATTAATTGACCTCGTATCTGCGGCACTGCCATACCTTACATGTATTTGTAATAAGAATATGATCAGTGGAATTTACTGAGCTCCGTTCAGCAAATTCCACCAATCGTATTGCTTATTGCAAATAGTTTACTCGGCACTTCGTGCTGAGTAACTATTAATTATTTTAGGAATTTTTCATTATAACATAATAAAGGATAAAAAAAAAAAAAATAAAAATAAAAGAAAAAACTAAAATTGTGACACTATCGAACCACAAAAAATTTTTATGGCGTAAAATTTAGGTTTAAAGAAAATTAACGGCTTTGCTGAAATAAAAAAAAATTTTTAT